TGAGCTTCTAAGGCATTCATTTGACACCGTAAAAATGTTAGTCATACCTTGGGAACAAAGTCCACGGTCCAAAGAGTGAACCTCTGCCTTCCCCTAGCGTCACTCTTTTACTGTTCCCAGTAGAAACTTTCACTTTAAAGACACGGTGAGATCCAAAATTGTAAATATTACAACTTCGATAAAAACATTAATTTTGACCCAATATTTGGGTTCCTATTTCAGCCATGTTTGTTAGTGCGTTTAGCAATTTTTGAAGTAAATCGAGGATTAGGAGGAAACCGCGGGGAACCCCTTTTAAACCTCCTATGTTTTGGAGATTCTGAAGAGACCATACGACACCGTGTAGGAACAAGAGGCAACAAAACGTCATCATGAGTGGTATAAAAAGTGAAACAGATATTCTACTTTATTCAATCTTCATACGACGAATTTAACATGGAAAAAACAAATAAACATCTATTGACGCTCATATTACGTACATGATACTGCATCACGCGATTGCGATTGAGTTTCGGTACAGTTTCAGTTTCTAATACATCCGGGCTTTCCGCTTTTTGATAATTATAGCAACGGTAGTTTATCGACTACTCGGTTCCTTGTCGTTTCTCGGCTCCTTGTCCTCCGCTCGCGGAAGGTATAGGTTGGGGTTCGTGTTTAGCATCGTTCGCGTGTGTTGTGTGCGCGTGTAAGCGGCCGCCATGCCAACCATGTGCGTTTTGATACACTGCTGCAAGACGTACAGTAGCGCAGTCGACATACGGTTTCATAACCTGTGGCTTCGAGCATAGCCTCCTCTATACTCACAAAGCCTGGCAGATCGACGACGGAGCCATAGGGTACCCGGTCGCAGATTTGGAGCTCGAGGATCTGGTAGCACAGAGCATTTCTCCGGAAGCCTGTAGTCAGCGCACAGCTTTTGCAGCGGCAAGGATCCGAAACATGGTTTTCAGACCCGACGAGAAAAGAAGCAGTAGCCCGAGGAACCCGAGAAGCACGAGCGGACATTCCATCGCTCGGGACAAGTGTGTTTCGGCGTCTCGCCGCAGCAGGGCGCCCGTTACATGCCTCTTGTCTGTCGCTCTACCTTTTCACTTTCGGCGGCCGCGTCTCGTGGCGATCTGCCAGGCGTTGTCAGGATAGAGGAGGCTATAGGCTTCGAGCTATTGGCAGCGACGATCCGGACGACATCGGCCCACGCGTGGGTCACGTCTGTTCAGACCACTTTCTCTCAGGCGACTACCAGATGAAAACTAGTGTGCGGCAAAGCCTCGGTCTGAATATTTGGAAGAGGCTATTGTTTGATGAATTTAGTCCAACATCAGGGTGTTTGTGTTGATAGTCGTTAATGACACAGAGCATCTCTTGTAGCTTCCTTTCGTAACACCATGTTTATTTTCTCCCCTTCGTCGTCTTCTATGCCAGCTCAACAACACAGTGTGCGAATTCTCACTAACCACTATACTTCGTTTCAGCTTCGGTCCAGACGCAGCCAAAGCTACAAGCGCGAGCACCGGGCTTTCAGCATCCCGGCCAAGCACGCGCGCTCGTGCAGTGCAAGCACTGTTCTGGGCCACAAGCTCGCTCTTTTAGCATCGGCTGCGTCTGGACCGAAGCTGAAACGAAGTATAGCCATGTCCGTATGTCCGCCCGCCGTTGGATGCACGAGCTCCTGCTCGTGAGCTCACGCGTTCACGTGCTCACGAGCACGTGAGCACGTTCTCCCGTGCTCGTGTAGGGCGAAAAAAAAAAACGGCATATCCACGTGGTGAATGATGTTGATTGGGGCGAAGCTCTGGTGGTGCTTGTCTGCGTAGACGGTGAGCCGCAGCACGCGAGCCTTTCGAGAATGTGTGGTATGGAACGTGGTTATAGGCTCGTAGCTCTCAAGTTTTGAGCAGCGCTCCAGGCGAGCAAGATAGAATATTTGGCTCGCGTTTCGAACGTGCGTCATCACGCTTCCCCACTACAGGTTTTTATACTCCGTTCCATTCGAAGTGCCAGCGTAGCAGAGGCTACAAGACCGAGCTCCGAGCTTGCAGTGTCCCTTCCAAGCACGCGCGCTCGTGCAGTGCGAGCATCGTTCGGGGGAACACGCTTTTGCAAGTAGCTTCAGCTTCGCTATCACGTAATGTGAAACATACGGGATCAAGGAAGCTATGAAAGAACGCAATTAAATAATAAAGCTGAATGGGACGCTGAGGCCACGAGCTGCATAATTATTTTTATTATTTTACTTTTGTTTTAGACATCTTGTTATCGCGCGTCTACAGATGCTGACAGATGCTTGCATTCGAACGCGGCACGTGCGAAATCAAACATTACAGCTCCACCTGGCTAGTGCTGCCAGCATAACATGGTCGCGTCTTGCGGACGCGCTCGTGCCCCCTGCCCGAGAGCAACGGGTCTATACACGCATTTGAGCATTTGACCGCAGCGTGACATGGATGAAAACGAACGAAAGGCTCGGCATGCTGCGGCTCGGCGTCTACGCAGACAAGCACCACCAGAGCTTCGCCCCAATTAACATCATTCACCACGTGGAGATGCGGTTTTTTATCACCGCCAGTGTGGGCATTGCCTATTAGGAATGTGTAACTGACAACACGAGTTCTAAGAATACCGAAGCTCGGCTGAAATATTTTCTTGTGTGTGTGAAGCACTTAATATTGCGGAAGATTAGGGGAGGTGTCTAGAAAAGATTGTAGCAGCAAATATTGTCGGAAGAGATATGATTCAGGGCCAGAGCTGCCGCTTTAACGATCACGGCACTACAGTGTACTAGAATACGGGGTAGTGCTGTGACCAGAGCGGCTTATGTGAGGCGTGGTGTGTACATCGTGATAGATGTCGACACCGGCGCATCGGCAGTAAGGCCAGTTAGAGCACTAAATGAGCTGCGCTTATAGTATTGGCATTCCGTTCCCCGACATTGTTGTAGGCGCCGCCATTTTGGCTCGTATGCAGAGCAGACGGAACTGCCGATCGTCATGATTCAAAAGTTCGACTTTCTCAGCATTAGATTCGGTGTTAGGAAGGTCATCTAATATTGCTTCGCTCTGTCGCGAACAGCGGAAAAACGTTTCCTATGATTTCAGATAAACCTTCAGATAACTGGCAACCTTCATTTTAAGACACAATAAGGCCAAGTGTCGTTACTCTGAAGCGTATCTTATTTAGTGGCACTATAGTACCCGTTTCCGACAGCACAAGCTCTCGAGAAAAATACGAAGAAAGAGTCGATATGAAAAGGCCGCCGTCGCACTATGGATGCCAAACGCTCGGGCCGGGAGGCGCGCTTTCATGCGGAACAAAAAAAGAAAGAAAAGTGTCGGAAACGAAATGGTTAGATGTCATTACCTTGCGAACAACAAGTTCGATGGTGTTTGTAAGGAGCATGGTGGAAGCTTGAAATCATTGCGCTCTTAAAGCAACACTACCAACACCGTCGAAATTAAAGTTTTTCCATTCCTCTTATTTCCGTCAATGAGAAATCCTTTGCTGACGTCATAGTCAGCGTTCGGCCAATCGTGGAAGGCTAACCACAGCGACGCTTTCGATCGCGCTCGTCGCCAATATACGTTTTTCATTTTCTTCCGTTCTCAGTCACTTAGATTCTGTATCTGGTATTCGGTACAAAAAATAATAACATTACAACCGGGAATATGCGAGAAAATATAAGTGATGCAAAACGAGAATGTATGACAATCACGCATTTTTCGTGAACCCTTTCGAGTGATGTGGAGAGATTCAAGATGGTAACGTCCTTGCAGAAAAGTTCTTAGATTGCAGCCAATGCCACAAGCACTAGAGCTCGAGGTCGCTGCTTTGAACCGTTCTTCCGCAGAACGAGCACGCGAGCAAGAAATGCACGTCTCAAAGCCAGGAGCGCGGGATAGCTCGCGCTTGTACCTTTGGCTGCGCTCTCAGCTTATGGATGAACAGGCAAAGCGCCCATGAAGGCACCCTATAGACGCTTTACACACGCGCCAAATCACAGCCGCCATTGCTGACCTTCTCTTGTCATACCGAGATGCCGAGCAACTGAAACGGTAGTTGACGATCCTCCACAAAGGCCGATGTTTTAGAAAAGGACCCGGTTGAATCTAATGTGCCTGCTATGGTAATGATGAAGTGAAATAAACGAAATAAGAGGAAACAAAAACTGAAGGTCAGTTATGGCGGCGTCCATGCACAGCTGCTGCAAAGCGCCGATACTCCGTTGACCCTTAAGCTGAGACTAGAAGCTCCGCCTTCAGGGCGAGTTTTTTGTCCTTGCTAACACAAGTGTCAACGCGCAGGCACGCGCAGCCAAAGCACTACGAAAGCCAGCGAACTCGCCCAGGAGGCGGAGCTTCCAGTCTCAGTTTAAGGGTGAACGGAGCACTAGCGGGGAGAAGTTCGGGTATCGCCGCCTGTTGGAGTTTTTCACAACCTAGAGTGAAGATACTTCAATTTCCTCTGCTAGCGCAAGTACGTGCAATCCAAGCTTCTATGCACTATGAACATTTTAAATAAAATCCCGTGGGTAGCACGTGCAGTACCCAGAGCGGAAAAAACAGAAGCGCCCCTAGCGAGCTTCTCACCGCTAATAGGTCGTGCCATAGCCTCCTCTATACTGACAAGGCCTGGCAGATCGCCACGAGACACGGCCGCCGGAAGTGGAAAGGTAGAGCGGCAGACAAGAGACATGTAACGGGCGCCCCGCTGCGGCGAGACGCCGAAACACACTTGTCCCGAGCGATAGAATGTCCGCTCGTGCTTCTCGCGTTCCTCGGGCTACCGCTCTTCTCGTCGGGTTCGAGAACCATGTTTCGGGTCCTCGCCGCTGTAAAAGCTGTGCGCTGAATACAGGCTCCCCGAGAAATGCTCTGTGCCACCAGATCCTCGCGCTCCAAACCTGCGTACGGGCACTCTATGGCTCCGTCATCGAACTGCCATGCTTTCTGACTATGGAGGAGGCTTTGGTCATGCATGCGGGTTCGCGGATGGCAGCTCCATACCTGCCTGGCCTGTGCAGCCGACGAGGCGAGCGTGGCATCGAGCAGGTGCGCGCGTTCACGTGCCCCGCTGCCCTGCAGCAGGTCTTCCAGCCCCTCGATGTACTCGATGGCACTCCGGAGGATCTCCACCTTGAACGGGGAGTGCAGCGCATTACTTGATTGGCCGTGTCGCGTCCTGTATTTTACATCTATCATGAGTCCATTGTGCACCACGAGAGAAGCTTAAACGGGCCATGAAATGATTTGTCAAACTCTTCCTCCTTAGCTTTCCTCCTCAACTCAAAAGCGAAATCAGAAATCACGCGGTCGGAAAGTGCTTGGGCACCGGTACAATGACTCCAAGCTTCCACCGTCCTCCTTACGCACAACGCGGAACTTGTCATTCGGAAGCGATGTTAAGTGTCGTCACGGCACCCATTGGACACGAACGCGAATTCAAATATTTGTCTACGGATTTATTGTTGATAACGTTATTTTTTGACGAGCATGCGACAAAGTGCTCGTGTCCAACGTGGCTCCCTTACTCGGCTCGAAAAACTTCCGTTTCTGGTAGAGAGGCATACTTTACGTCAGCGCCACGTGAGTTTACATGTTGGTGGCCGAGTTCGGTCAAGTTTAGGAGAGAGCAGACTTTTTTTTTTTTTTGTGTGTGTGTGCAAAACCTGAATTTATTCAAATGAAAATAGATTCCTGCATTCGGTTTTTTGAACATAGAAAATTAATTGGAGTCTTCATTCTGAAAAAGCTGGATGTTCATTCCCCGGTCCTTCAATATGATGCAAGAGAGACGTAACTACACGGACATCTTCTGGAGCTCGTCAAACACAAAGTTGAGGACAAAGTTGACGGAGTGCGCCGACTGGACAATCAGGACGATGATTACATATAACGCAATTAACGCAAAGGAGCAAGCGAGCTGGACAAGAATGACTATAACAATTCCTGGAGAAGGGGTACAAAGGGGAAAAAGAACAAACACAAAACTGCAAAAACAGCTAGGTAACATGCGCGACCGAAACTATCAGCCTGGTCCTGGTGTGGAACCGCGAGACCTCTCCCTTTCCAGTGGAGCGCTCTACCCACTGAGCTAAGCAGGAGTTACGGAGAAGATATATTGGGGGTTCTCACATAGCGCCCAGGCTCTTTGAATCAAGCCGCAAAATTCCTTTCCTTAACCTGTGCGCTACGATTTCGTGCAGTCTTACCACAGGTGGTGCATTTTTTCTATAAAATTTGCAAAGAGGGAACTTACCTGAGGAAAAGGTAAAGAAAGGAAAGGGCTTAACTCCTATGGAAACCAGGGACTCAAACCGAAAAATATAACGTTTCGGTTACGGTTACGGTTACCGCTTCCTGTTGATAACGGTTTCGTTTCGGTTTTTTACGGTTTTAATTTTTACGGTTTCGGTTACCGGTTACACGTTCATAAAAACCGGTTTATTTCGGTTTTTCCAATAATTTGTCTAATTGAAATGCTAGACAGCCATTTTAGAAAAAACTGTTTAAAGTAGTCTCAGATATCCAATAACGTGAAATACAAGGAACCTAGAAACGTCTTAATACTTCTAATTGGTCAGAAGTTGCACACGTTCCTAGCTCCAACTCTTGTTCACTACATCTACTTACATTATTTAGTTTGATGCCCGAGCATACATGTTACTTCTAGTACTCGGGGATCATCGCGTTCTATATAATAAAAATTAAAATGAACACCGCTACTCTGTTGTTTGGCACCATTTATAAACAATTACCCTAAGAAAGTTAATTCCCACTTGATGCTGGAAGAACCATTCGCACTTTCTCGTCGCTACAGTTGATTTCAACCGCATACATGCAGGCGAGTCTTCGCTTCACTGAAGGAAGGAACAGAACTACAGCCATCCACTAGTAAAATACTGCTAAGTGGAATGAAGTAATAAAATTGAGAGCTGGGCTGGGCGGGCCGTGAGGCAAGAAGCCTTCGTGCAGCGAATGGAAAGTCCGCCGTAGTCGGGCGGCCCGTGAAAACTACTTGCCTCACTAAACACTGCCCAGTCGACTTCAGGTGCCTGCTGGGTCGAGTGGACTGGCGGTGTAGGTCCCGTCGCTTTTGACTTGTAGGCAGTGCTACCCAGGTCCGACTGAGAGTCTTCGACGACGCTTTGTTTGTCTGTAGTGTGTTCCTTTGTGTTGGTGTGGTTTTCCTCCTTGCCATCGTACGTGTCGAAGGAGCCGTCATCGGCGTGGGGCTCAATGACTGTAGGTCCTGCTGAGCCACTCCAGGATTCGCTCGGTGGCGGTGGTTGTCGAGTCGGGATCCATTGGGTCGTTTTCTTCGATCCAAGATCAAGCTCGGGCACGGTCGGCCGAGACGCCAGCCTCGCAAAGAGCATGGGCGAGAATGTCCTCGACAGGAAAAACGCACAGGAGCGTCGAGGAGACGACTGTGCCGTCGATGACGGCACTGGTGGGTTTCGAAGACTCAGCGTAGCTGCCGGACTCACGATTAGGGGGCCTCTTCGACTTGGTGTCTGGGCGGTAGCTGGTGTGCGCGGGAGCACGAGGCGTGTGGCGTCCGCGTCGAGGCTGGTTGGGTAGCTGGTCGGGGAGCTCTCTGAAAACCTCAGACTCAAATCCTCGACGTCTGGGATAGGACTGCCGTCCTACAGTTCCCTCTCGCGACGACGTGGAAGAGTTCCAGTCTATCGAAAATGAGGTGCTGGTGTTCGGGGAGCATATCATCCCAGTAGAACCGATGGCGGGGGAGATGCCTGATCTCATGGACATCTCTCGTGGAGAAACTTATGGTGTCCTGGGCGAGGTCGCTCAGAATGTCGTAGGCATGACGGACCCTCGCTCCGGCATGGGTGGTGGGGGCTCTATCAGAGGTAGTTGGATTGCGCTGGTGGCTCTGGTAGAAATGATTCTCGTAGAAGCCATACCTCCGGCGGTGGCAGGGGGAGGCCTCCGGCGATGCTGGAAGCGATCTCTCGGCGCGTCTGTGGATGTTCGAGCTCACCGTGCCGACGTTCGAATAGCTCGCGTTCACAGTTTTGCGAGAGAGACTGTTGAGACTGCTGGCCGTGTGGGGCGAGATTGGCCAGGCCATCGACGATTGGAAGCAGGGCAGCTCCCAAGGTTCAGGCGAAGGAGGCAGAAATTGCATCCCATGTCTGTTGGACGAGGGTGGCGCGTTGGCGCGTTTGACGAGGAGGCATCCTTCTCCTTGGCTTTTTCTTTTGTCATGTTGAGAAGCTGAGAGGCGTGGCAGTGCCGGCGACGGTAAAGCCCCTCTATCCTGGGAAAAGTGACGCCGTTCATTGTTGTTAAATGCTCGAGGCACGTGCGACGCGCTACTTCTGGGAAATTCATGCCGTCTGAAATAGCTAAGTGTTGCGCTGTGCCGCCATGATCTTCCCGAGGGCTGCACGTTGCACGTGCCTTGTGCATCGACGAACATTGCGCTACTTTTGAAACATGAAGGGGCTTTAGGCGGCGGGTGCCACTCGGTTTGAAGAAGGGTCTCGGCGCAGGAAGGAAAAGAAAAAAACTCGGACACCCTTCTGACGTTTCCTCGCTCCTTCCACCACTCTCAGCCCGAGCATATATGTATATATATTGTATATATAATACAAAACGCCAATGTCAAACCCCTGACTTTTTTTTTCTTTCTGTGTTGTTTCAAAATCGTCACTCGCGACACGTTTCACACTAAATGAACAACATAAACATTATTAATGAACAGCAGGGCCCATTAAAGCCCCTTCATGTTTCAAAAGTAGCACAAAGTGCGTCGATGCACGAGGCACGTGCAACGTGCATACCTTGGGAAGGTCATGGCGGCACAGCGCAGCACTGAGCTAGATTTCAGACGCCACGTTCTTTCCAGAAGTGGCGCGCTGAACGTGTCTCGCGCGTTTCCACAACAGTGAAGGCGCCACTTTTCCCAGGATACAGGGGCTTTAGGGCCCGTTTGCTCGAAGCGCTAACCGCGGCTAAAGTTAGCCGCAGTACCTAGGAGAGGGATTCTGAGATCATGTGACAGGGATCGGTAGGGATGCGGGAAAACATGGCGGTGCCCCGCAAAGTGAGCGCCGCTCGCTTCGGAACTAATATGTCGTTGTAGCTGCAATATCGCGCGCGTTAGTTAGTAACTAATGGTGCAGGAGGCTTTCGCTTTGCCTTACCTCACTTAAAGCGCAAAGCATGAGCAATGACCTCGCCGCATTTTTTAGATAGTATTTCGATTCTGGCCATTCTTAAGCCTAAATGAACACGATAATTGTCGGCATGCATGGAAACGTCTTTGGAAAGTAGATTGCCTTGACTCAATCGGCCTTGTATTGATAGCACACAAATTTCCCAAGCACCGAGGTGCATGCTACGAGTGTAGTTGCAGGCATTGCGCGTGCTGGCGCATGCAGTAGTAATATACCCGTTGCTCTGGGCAGAGGGCGCGAGCGCGTCCGGAAGACTTACGCAAGACGCGACCAAGTTTTGCTGGCTGCATCATCCGTGTGGCGCTGTAACGTTCGATTTTGCACGTGCCACGTTCGAATACAAGCCGCTGTCAGCATCTGTAGATGTGCGGTAACAAAACGTCTAAGAAAAGTTAAAAAAAAAAAAGAACAGAATTATGCTGCTTGCGGCCGCAGCGTTCTATTAAACATTCCTTCCATATTTGCTTTCTTTCACAGCTTCCGCGAGCACGTATATTTCACTTTACGTGATAGTGAAGCCGAAGCTACTCGGAAAAGCGCGTCATCCTGAACGATGCTCGCACTGCACGAGCGCGCGTGCTTGGCAGGGACGCGGAAAGCTCGCAGCTCGCTCTTGTAGCCTCTGCTACGCTGGAACTTAGAATGGAACTGAGTAGAAACAACTCTAGTGGGGAGCGTATTGATGCATGTTTGAAACGCGAGCCAAATATTCTATTTTGCTCGCCTGCAGCGCTGCTCAAAACTTGTGAGCTACGGGCCTATCGTTCTAAAGGAAAAAGTCTAAAACAAATTTTGCCTTGCACGCGCGTTCGTCCAAGTCTTATAATGATTATTTACTTCGAATCTTTTATAAGAGGAAGGACAGCGAGCGCGGACCATAGAATTACACTTCCAGCGTTCTTCTCGATGCTTGGGTAATTTAGAAAAAGG